TCGACGAAGATTTCTGCGTCGACAGGTGCGTAGAGAAATGCGTTGGCGACGTCAATTTGTCGCAGCTTCTTCTTCTTCATGGCGGCGATCGCGAGAAGAATTCGTAAAGACGTGTGTCGGCTGACTGGAGCGAACGTCTCAGTGAAGTCGCGCCCATGTTCTTGGTCAAAGCCGCGTACGACCCAGCGTGCTTTGAACTTGTCGATGGTGCCGTCCGCCTTTGTCTTCACACGGAAGACCCATTTCCCGGTGAGTACTGTCTTGTTTCGTGCCACGCCGATGGGAACAACTTTCCAAGTGTTGCGTTCCTCTAGTGCGTTCAGCTCCCTGTCCATGGCTTCGCGCCATTTTTCCCTATGTTCCCCCCCCCATAGCCTGCTGAAATGTGGCAGGCTCCTTAGGAATCTCCGTGCCGTGGACTGCGGTGACGAGGCCGAGTATCTGGAGACCACTCAGTGTGTAGCGGGGAAGTGTTGTGTCCGCGGGATAAGCTGCTTCGTCACCTGCTTCTGGGTCAGGTATGAAGTTGGGCCCTATGCGTTCTGCTTCGTTGGTGTTGACTTCTGCAGGTGTAACGTAACCGTTGTCGGCGAAGTGGTAAAATGCTTCGGCGTTGACGCTTTCGCGAGGGTTTTCGTCATCCATTGGGACATCGACGGAGCAATACGGGAGGGGTCCGGCTTCCTCCGAGGCTGCGTCCACGTTCTGCTCGTCTCAGTCAGCTTCGTCCGCTGCCGATGCGAAGGCTCGGCCACCATGAAAACCACCTGTGGGGTCCCGATCTTCTTCCAGGTTGGCAAGATACGTCGGAAGGGTGAGTCGTTCGTAGAAAAGTACATCACGTGCTGCTACTGTTTCTTTGGAGTGGACGTCGAAAATCTTCCATGCGTTGTAATTCTTTTCGATGCCCAGGTGTAGTCCCCACTGTGCGCGTTGGGAGAATCGGCCGGCTCGTGCAGATGGGGGTCGGTACTGTACCATGCAGCCGAAGACTCGTAACATTTTTGTGCTGCCCAATTTTCCTGTCCACAGCAGATGCGGTGATGCGTTGTTCGGGAGCGATGATGACGAAAGCAAGTTGTGCAGCATCACGGCGTGGTCCATTGCCTCGGGCCACTGGTGGTTGGGTAGCTGCATGCCACGTAGCAGCTTGCGCATGGTGTTCTGAAGGGTCCTGTTCATTCTTTCTGCTACACCCTGCTGTTGATGGGCGTAAGGAAGGGAGATGAGCCTCTTGATTCCTTTCTCTGCCAGGTAGTCCTTGAAGCGTTGTGAGGTGTATTCTCCGCCTCCATCTGACTGAAAACTCTTTAGCTTTACGCCGGACTCCCGTTCTGCTGCTGGAAGCCAGGCGACGAAAGCTTCAAAAGCCATGTTGCGACTCGGAAGGTTCAGGTGCCAAACATAACGGGTAGCAGCGTCGATGAAGGTGATGGTGTAGTTGTAAGCTCCTTGTCCTGGTACGTGATTGTACAGGATGTCGCTGTACACTTTTTCGAGCGGTGCGTATGCTGGTGCGCTCGGGTTGTGGTGAGGGACAAACGGCTGATGCGGTAAGTCGGCTTCAGGACATGTGAAACACGTTCCGCGGACTCGTTGGAGTTCTCGCCCGTCATGTAGTAGGAGCGAATCTTTGTCCAGCACTCCTGCTCTTATCGTGTTGTTTAACGTTGTGTTGCTTGGGTGTCCCATCCGTGCATGCCAGATTTCTTCGCTGGTGCGGTGTCCGGGTGAGCGTCGGTACATGTCGGAGTTGGAGTAGAAGCTGGCGGTGAAGTTGGCGCTTCGATGAACTTCTCGTGGTGCCGGGTTTAACTGCTGCGCGGGTGTCGGTGGTGTGTCATCGACGAAGATCGGTGCCGTTGAAGGACCAGCGATTGGTGTTGATGTTGCCACTGCTGTTACCGTTGTCTCTGCTGCTGCCGTTGTTGTCTCTGCTGCTGCCGTTGTTGTCTCTGCTGCTGCCGTTGTTGTCTCTGCTGCAGCCGATGTTGTCTCTGCTGCTGCCGATGTTGTCTCTGCTGCTGCCGATGTTGTCTCTGCTGCTGCCGAATGTTGAATTGTTGCTAACGCTCTTGTTCTTTCTGCTTCAGGGATGGTTTCCGAGTACCAGAAGCCTCCAGGACTGAAGTCTGGGTCAAGATCCGGTGGATGTGTCTAAGAGGTAAAGTTCACGATGGCGTCGCTGTCAGCGGTGCCAAGGTCCGGGACGAAGTCGAGAACGAAGACGTTGTTTTTCAGCACTGCCTTCCCGATATAGAGACCTCCCTTGCCGTTATACAGTTTGAACTCCTGTGTAGTGCTGTCTGCTTCGAGATGGATACCCTTCGCCATCAGCTGACTGACGCTCTGTAAGTTGTAGCCGAGTCCCTCCGCAATTGAAACCTTTGACATTTGTAGAATGACGTTTGTCTCTCGCGACTGAAGTTGTACAATTCCTTGTCGTCGTGTGCGCAGGTTCTGATTGTTGGCGACGGTGATGACGACTTCGCGTTGAAGTTGGTGCTCGCGCTGAACGAAACGTCCCGAAGAGCACATGTGCTGCCCGCAGCAACTGTCCAAGAACCAGGTATCTTTTCCGGACGGCTCACTCTGGGCGATAGCTGCGTACGTTGGGTTCGGCTCCAGTGTCTCGCGGCGCGGCATGCTTTCGTCAAGAAGTTCTTCGGGTGAGTATGTTGGTGGTGATTCGGTGATGCAAGAGTCGGTCAGTTTTGCCATGCAACTGACGATGTTTCTTGCGCCTTGTGCAGGTTGTCTCGTTGATGTTGTTTGAACTTGAGCGGTGGGGTTCGCTTGTGTTGAAGCGACTTGGCTGCTTGAAGGTCGAAGCTGGCGCTGCGGCGGTGTTGACTGCTGTCGATTCGGGCAGTGTGTGCGCGAATGTCCTGACGTCTTGCAGAGATGGTAGAACGGAGGTACGGGCTTTGGTTGTTGTCGGCTGTTGTTGTTGTTGTAGCGTCGCTGAGTGTGAAACGCGAATTCAGGTACTGATGCTTTCTTCTTGTGCCGTTCCTCTTGCAGGTCCATGTCTTGTTGCTCGGCGTGAATTTCGGCGCAGAGTGCTGCTTCGGAGATCTTCCCGTGAGCTCGGAGTATGGCGCGAATGGAGCGCCAGTGTGGACCAAGACCGCCGATAACAACTGTGACGAAGGCGTCTTCTGATATCGATCCTCCACATCGAAGGAGTTTGTCGCGCAATTCGCGGCAGCGACTAATATACGCCATCCCCTTTTCGCCCGGTTTCATTTCCACTGTTGTCAGTTGCGCCATTAACCGACTCTGGTTGACGCTGTCTGTTGCTTGATACAGGTTCTTCAGGTGGTTGTACGCGAGTTCGGCGGAGTTGCCCTATCCTCGGTAAGACCGTATGTTCTGCTGTTGGGTTGGAGTGACGTTGCGTAGTAGAATTGTGTATGCCATCATTGACTGATAGGTGTACTGCTGCTTCTCGTACTGTGTGCCGTTTGTTGGGTATGGCAGGGATCCGTCGAAGAAGCCGAGGATTTGCGCGCCCTCCATCATCAGCTCGAACTCGAATGACCAGGTAAAGAAGTCCTTTCCGTCGAAAGGTCTTGACGTCTGCAGCTTCAGAACGTGGCATAAAGCTGACGGAGTTGATACAGGCTTATGCGAACAAGTAAATCTGCACCTCTCACAAATGGCAGTGAATTCGTGAACGCGGCGCGTGAATGGCATACACGAATGGCAGTGAATTCGTGTATGCAGATTTACAAATGGCAGATTTATCTCACAAGGAAATAAGCGGCGCGGCGTGCTTTCGTCAAGAAGTTCTGTGGTCCAGTGTCTTCTCTTGTCCATGTGCAGGCTGTGTTTGTGGCATAAAGCTGACGGAGCTGCGCTGGGGCTCGTACGGAGCAAAGGTAGGTTGCTGCTGTTGATTTCCACGTGCGTAGGATGAACCATCAAGGCTCATTGGAGTCACGTCGCTGTTGTTGTTGCTGTTGTGTGACTGCGCAGGTACCGATTGCTGGTGTTGCTCGTAGAAGGACATGAAGGAGAAAAACTTCTCCATCATGCTCTGGTCGAAGCCTGCAGGTTGATTCGCAGGAGTCTCAGTAGACGTTGCTCTTGGTCTTGTTGCCATACCCTCCTCTGTCTGTAGGCCAGAGGTAGGAGGTGGAGTAGGAGTAGTGCCGGGAGAACCAATAGAGGAACTCATTTCCTTCTGAGTAGCCATGTCTTCTGATGTTGTAGGTGTCTTGATAGTTGAATTCCCCCTGATAGCTCTCATACCATGTTGGGCTGAAAAATAGCCCTTAGGATCTTTGCAGGGGTGAACTCTGGGTAGAACTGATGTAGTAGCGGAAGTGTTTAATGAAGAGTTGTGAACCACCTTGCGCTAGTATGTGAGGGCAAAGTTGATTAATTAAAGCAAAGAGATACAAGATTATATAAGAGTACAAGGAATACGAAGGGATACGGTTGCAACTACTTTACTGTTTGCTGTTGCGGTTCGATACAGTGACGACTCGGGCAACTGCTCTGTAGCGAGTCAGTTGTGTGACCTTGCTGTCGCGCTGTATTTGTCAGGTCAAAGGTCGCTGACCTTTGATTTTCGCGTAACCTCCAGCAACTGCTCAACCTCCGAGGGTTGACTCGCCAGTGCTTCGATATGCTTTGCTTCGCTTCTGACTTGGTGTTTCGACACGACAGAGGCGCTCATAATTAATTGTTTCCAACAAAACTGAAAGGCGTGCATACAAGTAAATCTGCACCTCTCACAAACCCACTCCCCCGCTACCCATTCCCTTTCCACTAACCCCCTCTGGTCCCAATCCACCCCACTCCCACCCGCTACCACATTCACACGTTCAGCCAGTCTTATGCTAAAAAGGCACCTACCGCCAAGAATCACGTCACTCTTCACCCTTGTGTCGCCACTGCTGGCTCCAGCTTGCCTTTCAACAACCACCATTTGAAGCCTACTTGGCCTCGGCCATGAGCTTCTTGAAGTTGGTCTTGCTCGAGTACAGCGTCTACGGCTTCCAGTCGGCGGGAAGGACCTTGTCGAGAGTGATCTTCTCCAGGGTGTGTCCCGCAGTGAGGCGAACGCTCACCACCTTCTTCGCGCCCACAACCGCCCTCGCCTCCTTGCCCTTGATCCCCCAGATCGCCTTGCTGCCGTCGCGGGTCAGCTTCGCCCACTTCTTGCCGCCCGCGCTGATTTCGACAGCCTTGAGCGTACCTGGGCCGGCGAGACCCACCATCTGAATGTTGAAATTCTCCGCCGTCGAGTTGCTGCGCACGCGCACCGCGGATCCGAGGGTCGACTGGCAGTTGGTGCGCTTGTACGTGATGCCGACGGGGGTGGCGTCGGATCCCTGCACAATCTTGGACCACGACACGGGGGAGAGTGAAATCTCCTTCTCCGTAGTTGTCGCGCCAATGACGCGGACTGTCACGGTCGCCTTGCCGCTGCGGCAGTGCTTGGTGTTGTTGGCGCAAATCACCTTGTAGCACGCGCCGCAGCGCTGGCCGAAGATGGCGGGAGGAAGCTTCACGGTGAGTCCCTTGCCAAAGTATGGGTTGGCGGTGTAGTTGCCGTAGTAGGCGCATGTGGAGTTCTTTCCTAGCCCCGCGCTCTTGCTCTGCCTCGCTGTGGCCGCCAAGGCTGGCGTGGTTGCGTTTGCAGACCCGATCGCGCCAGCCGCAACCCCCTTAGCATAAGCAGTCGCGTTGGCAGGCGCAGTCGCTTTAGCAGGCGCAGTCGCGTTGGCGGGACTCCTGGCGGCAGAGGCGCGCACAGGGGCGGAAAGGAGCACCGCAGAGGTGATGACGACGACTAGGAAAGTGGCCTTAGCGGGTATCATGTGGCTGAAGGGAGTCATTCTCGCTTCTGTGTGTTGGTGTAACCCTACGGTTTGCACTCGGCTTGTTGTCCGTGTGCGTGAATGTGTGTGTGTATGGAATGGTATGAGGGCATGGGATAATATATATTTCATGCTTATAATTGTGTGTGAATGTTGAGTCATGATGTCGAGTGTGTGTGTCGAGTCAATAGCGAGTTATCGCTAGACGCGTGTTACGCGGTCGTTTGTGTCTCGCGCGCGGTTTCTATTTTGTCGTGCGCGGTTTCTATTTTGTCGTGCGCGGTTTCTATTTTGTCCTGTGTCGAACGTTCGGCGTGTCGCAGGTGTGTGCAGCAGACCCATCAAGAACTCAAGGATGAGTTTGTGATGAAGAGCCCGAGCCTTGGTGTCAAGCCTCAAGTGATTTCGAAGCTTGCCAAAAGGGTACACCTCAAGATATTGAAGATAGTTACATTACTTTGTGTAGTGTAACATTTCACTTGGTGTAGGCCCTAGTGAAGGGTAGTTTCGAGACCCTTCGTGGTTGGGGACAGTGTGGCACTGTTCCACATCACTGTACCTCGGCTCTTGGGGTTTGTAGGAGCTGGGAGTCATTCCCAACTCGTAACTCTTCCTATCTTGTGTTCTAAGACTATAGTGGCTGCCATAGTACCGTTCGTTCAAACCGACGCTGTGTCGTCAATTTTTTATCAAATCGTGCAATCTAAATTGCTAATTGTAGACGACGTGAAAACGCTCCAGATCCAATTTGAATCAAGTCATTTGCAGCTGTGAGCAGAACGCTATCAACGTTTGAAGCCGCTGTGCAGAAATCCGTCTGTGCTCTCTATCTTTCGTTTTAGGCACATTCAAGCCTATTGTGACTATAACAAGTGGTATCAGAGGCCCTTGGAGCAGTTTCGACAATGTCTGGACCTGAGGAAAGGGGTGGCAGAGGTGCTGGTGGCAGTGGAGAAGCTCAAGCTCAAGGCCAACCCCGTGATTCAGCCATGGCGCCCATGCAACCAAGTCTTGGCCCACCTAGGGATGAGCCTAGGGTGTTTGGGCTTGACAAGTTCAACGGTGACAACTTTGCTGAATGGTCCTTCAAGATGGAGAACATCTTTGACCACTATGACCTGCTGGAGGTGATGGAAGGAACGGAGAAGCGCCCCGAGAACGACCCGGAGAAGAGCCCGTGGGTGCGGAAGAGCGCACAAGGCTATCTCTTACTTGGGCAAGCGTTGGGGAGCAGTCAGATCCGTCACATCAAGCCATTCCAGCGTGAACCAGAGAAAGGACCAAAGGCATGGGCTGCTCTCAAGGGTGTACATGCTCCTGCAACAGCGGCGGTAGCGGTGGTGTTGGAACGGCAAATGGCGGCACTACGAATTGAAGAAAACGAAGCGGTTGAAGAAGGGGTGCAGAAATTCTTCGACTTGTTGACGCGGCTTGAGGGAGCTGATTTGAACTACAGTGAGCTCCAAAAGAAGACCAAGTTGCTGGCCTTACTCCCAGAGTCATGGTCCTCGCTCATCATCAACCTTAATCGCGACTTGCCCCGCCTCTCGCTTGAAGACGTGAAGCGAGCTATCCTTCAAGAGGATTTCCGCCGCCGTGAGTTGGCGAGTGCGGATGGCGCTGGGGCAGCGAGCATCGGCCGTGGATATGGTCGAGGAAGAGGCAGAGGACGAGGGGGAGGAAGGTTTGGTGGCAGCAACTTCGGCGGAGGCCGCAGGAGTGGCGGTTACGGCAGCGACGACAAGAGCTACGGACGCGGTCGCGGCCGATTCGACGGCGAGTGTCACTATTGCCACAAGAGCGGACACATGTGGCGCGACTGCTACAAACTCCCTGATGGTTGGACCCCTGCTCAAGGCCAAGAGGGTAGAGGAGCAGGAGGAGGGAGAGGACGAGGCCGTGGAGGCCGTGGCGGTCGCGGTGGCGGAGCTGCAAACATGAAGAGCGGAGACAACGACAAGGACCCAAGCGACGATCGATACCCGGGTCTATTCTACTTCGTGTCGACGCAAGTACCAGCTGGTCCAGAGAAGGATGAAGGCTTTGAGGAGCCAGCAGCTGTGGGGAAGGTGACCCTACACCCCCTGGACTATTGGGTGATTGATAGTGGCGCTACCTATAGCATGACACCTCGCCCGGACTTGCTCACCGAACTCGAGCCGTCACCGGTGAAGCATGTCACATCGGCTTTGGGGCAGCGAGCAGAGGTGAAAGGCATGGGCAAGGCCATGTTCAAGGGTGCTGATGGGAAGATGGTGGGCCTCAAGAACGTGCTTTGGGTGCCCAGCCTTGCTGCAAACCTGATTTCCGTGCGGCGGTTGGCAAAGGCCGGCATGGACACGAACTCGAAGGGAGCCAAGACCTACACCGCAAGGCTTGGCGATCGAATTTTTTGGGACCTTCATGAGGACAGGGATGTCTACAACGAGATGTGGCAGATCCCAGTGGTCCCTATGCCTAAGGAGAGGCAAGTGGCAGCAAGCATCAGCACCAAGGATGGAGCGGTCGGTAGAGACGATGGCGCGAACGGTCGCGCTAAGGAGAATGAGCTCAAGAAGAGCAAACCTGGAGGGACCAGCAAGTTCAGTGAACCTAAGGAGAGTGGTGCAGCAACCAAGGAGCAGCAAAAGGGTGAGGAGAACCCAGAGGCAGCAGCGGAGGAGGACTACGGAGAGAGTATGTGGGGCGCTATTGCGAGCGCGGCATTCTCCAATCCAACTTCGGCTACGGGGGAGTGTGATTGGCTCACCTTGCATCGGCGCATGGGGCATGTGGCCCTGCCCATCTTGCAGCAGCTAGTGAAGAATGAGATGGTTGCTGGCATACGTGTGAAGGGGGAGCCCGATGAGGTGCTTGGCTGCCCGACGTGCATTCAAGCCAAGTTCACCCGGTTTCCGTTCCCTAGTTCGGAGGCAACGGCAAAGGCACCGCTTGATGAGGTGGTGATGGACGTGGTGGGCCCCCTGAAGCTTGGAGCTGCTGGAGCTGAGTATTTTCTCACCATTGTCGACGTCTACACCCGCATGACTTGGGTGTACGTGCTGGCCAAGAAGAGCGACGTGGCTGAAACGTTGAAGACGGATTGGTTCCCGATGGTGGAGCGGCAACAAGACCGTCTAGTCAAGTCAATCCGCACCGATCGAGGGGGAGAGTTCCTGAGCAAGGAGTTTGGGTTGTGGCTGAAGAAGAATGGTATTCGGCACTCCCTCACCATGCCATACTCCCCTGCAATGAACGGCATCGCCGAGCGAGCGAACCGCACAATCACGGAGGCGGCACGCGGGTTGCTCATTGAAGCCGGGCTACCCGACTATTTCTGGCCTGATGCGGTGCGGAGCGCGTGTGTGGCCAAGAACAGAGCCTTGACTCATGTGGGAGCAGACAAATGGGTGCCCTATGTGGAGTGGCTAGGAAGGAAGCCAAAGGTGGATATGCTTCGGGTGTTCGGGTGCATGTGCATGGCGCTCGTGCCTAAGCATCTTCGGCACAACAAGCTTGGTGCCAAGGCGGTGTGGGCCGTGCACTTGGGCATGGCTCAAAACAGCAAGGGATGGCTTCTTTGGGACCCATTCACCAAGAAGTTCTTGGTGAGCAGGGACTGCAAGTTCATGGAGAACTTCATGTACAAGGATTGGAAGGCGGAGAATGAGGCGAAGATAGGCGTGCGGTTTGGGGAGGTGAAGAGTTCCGGTTTGGAGCATGTGGAGCTGCCTTTGGAGCTGAGCAGCGGCAGCACAACCACAAGGCAATCCTCCCTTGTGAATGGGGGAGAGGAGGCCAATGATGCAGAGGAAGAAGAGGAGGAGGTGCAGCAAGTGAGCGAGCGTGCACCGTCACTCCCTTCCCGTACTACGAGTGCTCCACGGATTCGAGCCACACCGCAGCAACGCCAAGGCCTTCAAGTCCCTGCAGCTGAGGAGGAAGGAAGGGGGAAGAGGAGAGTTCAACCCCCTAATAGGCTGACCTATGATGCGCCGGGAAAGCAGGGCAAGACAGCCCTGGCCGGAGCGGCAATGATGGTCGGAGACGACGAGGAGAGTGACTACGAGGAGTGTGCCTTCGCGTTCTTCTCTCCGGTGGAGATGCCGGGAGAACCAGCAACTCTCAAGGAGGCTTTGGAGAGTAGTGATGCTGAGGAGTGGAAGAAGGCAATGGAGAGTGAGCTGAAGAGCATCGAGGAGAATGACACGTTTGAATTGGTGGAGCTACCGGAGGGGCGTACAGCGATAACGTCCAAGTGGCTCTTCAAAATCAAGTCGGATGCCGACGGCAAGATCGAGCGCTACAAGTCTAGGCTTGTAGCCAAGGGGTACCAGCAGAAGGAGAAGGTGGACTTCAAGGAGCTGTTTGCCCCTGTGGTGAAGCCGACGACGCTGCGAACCCTATTCGCGGGAGCCGCCATCAAAGGATGGGTAGTAAAGCAAATGGACATCGTAACGGCATTCCTTAACGGCATCCTTGAGGAGGAGATTTTTATGGCGCAGCCAGAGGGGTTTGATGATGGTAGTGGCAGAGTGTGGAAGCTGAAGAAGGCCCTCTATGGGCTGAAGCAGGCCCCTAGGCAATGGTACATGAAGCTGCGCGAAGTGTTGGAGGGGATCGGCTTCACTCCCTCAACGGCCGATCACTCCTTGTTCATGCTTGGCGAGGGGGAGCAGAGGAGTTTCATGGTGGTTTATGTGGATGACATCCTCATTTTCTCACCCTCTTCTGACCTTGTGAAGGAGGTGATGCTGAAGCTTCAAGACAAGTTCAAGTGCAAGGCCCTTGGTGACGTGAGCTTCTACCTTGGGCTCCACATCGAACGAGATGTGGAGAAGCGGTGCATGCGGGTGCATCAACGAAAGTACCTGGAGGCATTGGCTGCCAACTTTGGGCAGAGTGAAGGCCATGTGGCTACACCCTTTCCCTCTGGGTTCAAGTGTGTGAAGGGACCAGAGGAGGAGAGCGTTGGTGAAGAGGAGAGGCGCCGATTTCACTCGTTGGTGGGCAGCCTCATGTATGCGGCGGTAAACACC